TAGGGTTTGAGTTTAGTTTTAGGGTTAATGGGTTAGATGGGTTTTGGGTTTCGGGTTAATAGATGGGCTGGATTATAGGGGAAAAGGATTTAGGAAATGGGTTAGGAGCTTTATGGGCTCGGCCCAGACCCACACGGCCAGAGGGCCACCTTTGAAAAGGTTTTGGGTTTTGCATACGGCCCAAAGGCCCTATTTCTAAAACAATAGTTTAATTAAACTAGAAAGGTTTTAGGTTGGGTCAACGGGCTAAAGGCCCTAAAGGAAATAGCCCAAAGGCCTTTGGGTCTTTAAGGAATTAAAACAAAAATAAAAAGGGAATGGGCTAGGGTATTAGGCTAAAACAAAACAGGATTAAGGCCCGTGGGTATAAAAAAACGGCCTGGAGGGCCTGGTGCGAAACAGAAAAGAACACCGGAGCTTTCCTAGCTTCGACCGACTGCAAATGTAGACTTTAAGCTCCGATCTAACTACCAACATAAATAGGAAGGTGAGAGAAGTAAGTCTATACCTTTGGTTCACCGTGGAACGGCCGGTGGTGGTCGGAAAACCTCTCGACACACCTATGGGTTCGCTGAAGATGGGTACATTTCCTCCCCCCCCCCCGAGTCAATCTCAATCTAAAACCTTGGAAATAACGAGATAAAACTCAAAAATCACATCTATACATCAATCTAACACGAATAGGCCTAACCGGAAAAAAAAGAAGAAAACTCGTTGAAGAGTTTTCCGGGTTTCGTCGTTCTAGTTGTGACGGGAAGGAGTGCAAGCCGATGAGGGAGAGACGATGATGGTGATCCCGTCTACCTCTAACAGATGGTGAGATGGTGTGTGTGGGTGGTTGCTCATGGTGCAAGAGAGGAAGAGAGATGAGGGAGTTTCGAGAGAGAGCGAGAGTGCAGAGAAAGAGAGAAGAAAGAAAGAGAGATATGAGAGAGTTACGGGAGAGGTGAGGGAGAGTGATTGGGACCGAGAGACAAACAAATCAGGGGTGGGGCCTTTGGGCACACAATTTTGGACCCAAAAACCATTTTTAAAAGCAAAAATATCCCAAAAATTAGTGAAAATACAAAAATACCCTTTATGTTCTGTAAATCCCAGGACGAGTTGTTACAATCTACCCCCTTAAAATAATTTCTTCCTGAAATTTAAAATAATTTGCTACACTGAAAAACTTTAAAATAGGAAGAAGAATATATGTATACGTAACGAAGAAATCAAGTCAGAATGGGTGCATCAAAGAGAATATGCCACACCGTCGCGAGCGGGTTGCAAAATCCTCTATCATGCCTCCAAGCTCTTACTTTCTTCCCCATTAGTGTAAAAGTAGAAAACATACTTTATAAAGATATAAAGTCGAAAACGCATATTGACATAAGGTCAAAAATATGTATGTAAATACGATAACACCAAAATAGATAAGTAATAACATATAGGTCAAAAACTCGTGCTGAACTTAAAACTGAAAATGGAAATACTTCTCCCAAAATATTTGTAACATCAAAAACAAATAACTAAAATAAAGGAAGTTAAAATACTTATACTGAAAACCAAAACTGAAAAATGAGAATGGGTCTCACCCAAGCATTCGTAACCTCACGTACTTCGAGAACAAATGTGTCTTTGGGTTGAGTCCTAAGAATAACAATTCCGTGACAGCTATCATAGATGGGCCTTCCTGCCCACTTGCTTAACGAACCCAACGAATAAGCTATCGATACCACAGTTGGCCACCCGCGATATCGATCACACATTCGTCTTGATAAGCAAACAGTAATTTCCTGAGGGTGCATAATTTCGCATGTCGTAAATTCGATCCTCCGAATACTATCACAATACTTCTTTGCCAACCAGTGTTGCTTGTAGAAAACTCTCGTACCATGTCGCAAAAAATGCCATACTCAAACTGAACAAAACAAAAATTGTCGTTGTAAAACTCTATCCAGCACCAAGCACACCATCTTCCTCAGTTCTTCCAAATGTAACCAACTACTCCAATGTTTACCATTAGAGAATCCATTTGAAAACGGTATCTTGGGATTTAAGACAAATGGCTACCATGGTAATATTAAACTCAAAAGCTCAAGCCAAGTAAGTAGAAAACGAGAAGTCATTTTTCCCAACAAGCAGTATCTCTTGCGAACTGTTGTAGAGCTCAATCCACTTTTCCATTTTTGCTTAGTTGCAGACTTTTAGTCAAAGAAGGTCAATGTTGGTGGAAAGAAGGACTCACAAATGATCAACCTAAAAACCCCATGAGAGCACACTCGAGAGAAGTGCAAAGATCTTTCAATTCTCGCCATGACTGTGCTGTGGTGCCATTCCAGAGTACACCAATAGATCTACTAGAAGCATTTCGACATCCACATACTCACAACAATAAAGTTCGGAAGTGAAGCAGTAGAAAGATGCATTGAGACGACACATAACTTTGGAAAAGAACTGATATGGTGCCTATGAATTATAGTAAGATGGTGATACAATTTGCTGACCTTCTGTACTAAAACCTTCATCCAACTCTTACTAAAAGATTGCTCAAACCTCACGCCCATATGCTCGTGAACCGAAGGATCCTGCTACGAGGTAGTGGAAAGCTGCGTTGAGGTGAACAGATCACATCATCGAAAATGTCTACCAGAGTACGATACGATGGTTATGAATTGTAGCAAGATAAAGAGTGGTGACTATTCAATTCAACGTGAAGATAGTGATGTAGTCAGCTAATCACTTACGCTATAATCTTCACCAATCTCTTACCAAAAGATGGCCTAACTTCACACCCACTTAGAACTCTTTCTGGTAAGTCTGGTAAGCTTGTGAAAAGGTTATGCTCCTAACGTTCCTGTCCGAATTGACATGAACTGGGTGCACACTTTTTTCTCTGAAACGATCGATCGTGAATTTTTTACTAATTGAGCGAGAAATCATGTCAAGAAGGCTGAAAGAACACTTAAGAATTAAAGGGTCAAAACAAGTCCATTAGAATCTAGAGTACAAGATATTGGGATTTGAACGAGAAGCCACACCGAGAACAAACGTTTTTTTTTTCACCCTCGATGTATTGTTTTAGCATGATTCAGTTTACATTGAGAAACAAACAAGAGAAGGAAAATGAAGATGCAGAGATAGAAGTCACTGTTTATGATTATTTGGCTAATCATCACAATAAGGTCAACTGGTTTCTTAGCCAAAAGGAAACAGGTCTAAGCTCAAGAATAGTTAAGAACTGTTAATAAGATTTGACAAGGCCAAAGACATTTTGAAATTCACAATACTTTGTGAGAGTTGTTTCAAAGTTCAAAAATTAAATATAGAACCTCTGAATCAACATAATGACGAAGAAGAAAGATACGAAACAGCCTGCGTAAGCATGCAGTGACATGATTGGCTATCTTAAAATGATGCTCTTGAGCAAACCAAAGCTCAATGAGTTGAAAGAAATTCAGAGCAAAGCTCGATCTTCATACAAGGATGAGTATGGTAGAGTCTTGATGCGATGAAAGTTAAGCACTCAAATTAAACCCTCTTTTGACAATTGTAGTATATGTATAAGTAGGGATCGTTCTGGACCGGGGATTAGAAGGGATTGCTAATCTAAACTAAACTGACTTACAAAAAGAAACTTAAAAACACTTAACTAGACTCTATAGACTCAAAACACTTAAAAACACAAACTAAAACAGATTCTAACTAATTAGACACACTAAAGTAAAGGGGGATTGGGTTTTGGATGAAAATAAAGTAAAACAAAACAGAAACTAGAACTAAACAGATTTGCATGAAATTGGTTGTTTTGGATGGATGATGGGCTAGCTAGAAGGTCTTTCTCCACACATGACACACTTGCATACAAATCAATCTCCAATTGCTTTTCAATAAACTATGATACTCAACACCCCAAATTAACCGTGATGCAGAAATTAACTCTTAGATTTTCCTTTACTCATTGAATTGGATGAATGCATGCGACAACCCAAATCATTCTTTAAAAGTCCCCTATATGAATGCATAATAAAGATACAATTAAAGATCATTACGTTCCATGAAAATCATAAGCGTTGACGAGGCAATTGTAACTATGAATGCATGATACGTTTGCCAAGAATTCAATTAACGCAATTGTGACAAGCAACCTTCACTACTCATGAATATAAACTTGTAACGATTAGGTGAAACTTATTTATATCCTAGCATCAAATTCATGCATGAAAACTAAGTATGCATCCTTAATAAACGTACACAAATCCGTTATGAATAAAATAGATAATTGAATTGCAATCACAACATATCAAATCACAATTGGAAGAAATCAATTCATATTGCAAATATATTCATGGTTTCAAATTCTCCTCTAGCCAAAAGAGGTTTAGTTCCTCATACTTGCAATTAAATAGAAACAATTAAAATTAAACATTGAAAACCAAAGTAGAATACACCTAGAATGTTCCAGCAATCCAAATTGAATGACTAGCACAACTCCAAGCAATCCTCCTTCCTTGCAAATATGCGGTACCAAGGTATGAGTGGTGAATGAATGGTCTCTTGTGGTGGTGGATGGATATAGGTGAGTTATGGTGAAGGGTGGAGAGTTGTGTAGATGATGTGGTGTCTTTGGATGATGGCCTCTCTCAAAATTATGGTGAAGGGTGGATGTATTTATAGGCTAGGGAGATGAGTGTATGGAGTTGTAATGAGTGGATGTAATGTGTGTAGTGGGTGAGTGTTGTGGTAATAAGTGGATGTAATGGGTGTAGTGGGTGGATGTTTGGTAATGAGTGGATGTAATGGGTGTAGTGGATGAATGTTTGGTAATGAGTGGATGTAATGGGTGTAGTGGGTTGTGGTAATGAGTGGATGTAATAGGTGTAGTGGGTGAATGTTTGGAGAATGGATGTGTTGGGTGAAATGAGTGTGCTAAAATGGTTATTTATAGGGAGAGGATGATGCACAAACTTCAAATTTCGTCAATTCCTTTTGCTCCAAGCATATGCCATCCATTCCATGCCCAAAAATGCTCCAAAATGCACTTCTTTGCCACATTAACCCTTTGGACCTACAAACACACAAAAATAACTTAAAATACTAAAATAACTACGAACTAACAACATAAATGCCAAGAAACAAGCTAACTAAGTCGGATAAATATGCTCCTATCAAGTCTCAAGCTATTACACTGATATTTACAAGGCTGAACAACTAGTACACAAGAGCACTACTCAGTTGGGCTACAAGCAATAGGCTAATTGTTCCTATACTGAAAAGTACGTGGACAATGAGCTAGGGTTTACTGCCAAGTACTAGACTTAAGTGAAATTCAATAAATTTGTTTATCCAAACAAGTTTGGATCTTCATGATCCAATTCCAACTACAATAATAATAAGAATCGCACTCATTTTGGGAAATTGGTGAGAATAGCGTCTGCTACCGAGGAGTTTCCCAAGAAAAGTATATAAACTAATCAAAGTCAACACTCGAATTTGATGTGAAGCTAATGGTCGATGGTTAGAGAACTTGACTTCATTGTTGGAGTAAGCAAGAAGGTTAACGATAGAACAATCGCCGAGAATTGTTCTAAAGATCCACACGAATTTCTTCAGTGGGAACAAGTCCGAGAACTTTGATTCAATCCCACCAACTACCACTTACTAATCCTCGCAACAACTAGTGTTTTCTCGCTTCTTCAATACGTATTTCCAAAGTTTCGAGTAGTTTCCAAAGAGATATGACTCTGCCCACCATTCCTAGGGAACGCATGTCGTAGAGTACAACACCACTTCATATTTTCTGTTTCTCAACGCTCTTATGTAGATTTGACTCCGCCCGGAATTCCTAGGGAACGCATGTTGCGGAGTATCGATCTGATGTTGAAAGCTGTCCAACAATCCACTTCATCACTACTGAGGCACAATCCTGACATGAATTCTTGTATTTCAATCAGAATGTGACAATTCAAACTGAGAAAGATTTACACAACTGCGCCGAATGTCACCAAATCCAGAAGTTGTAACATCCAAATGATGTCAAAACTGACACACCACTAGAGTAAGATAAGATCCTAAGTATGCTTTGAATAAACCACGCTCTGATACCAATCTGACATGCCCCAATCTGATATTCCCCGAATACCAAGATAGACACGTGCTGGCCGACACCCGAGGGTGACAAAAGCCATTTATTGAGTGCAAAAGCTGAAAACACGGGATAGATAAGACTTATAAATATAAAAGAGTAATGAATATGCATTTAAGGAACGTGTTTAAAGCATACAACTAATTAGAACACTAAAAGAAACAATATAAAATTAAATGAAACAAATGATGAATCTTACACCGAGAGGACTCGAAGATGCTGATGCGGAAGTGCTTTGACGCCAGGATTATATGCCACGATTCTAAGTCCTGAAGGGGGCGCAAAATAAACATGAGTGGACCAAGTTTTATACACACACTAAAACAATTATCAATACACTAACCCCCATGTTTTATAAAAACACATATATAATGATAAACATAGGTTTTCCGAAACCTAGCATGTCGTGCAATGTCTCAAATTATAACTTGTATATATAATAATCACTAGCGAATGTCTGATAACACCCAGGCCTCATGCCGGCTCCCCGTCCTTGTGCTAATAGCCAGAGGAAACACACTCCAAGCCTTATGCCAACACCAAACCGTCGCCTGAGACGGACCAGAATCTATCCCTACGTCCTGTAGCGGAATAAGGACCACTAGGTAAGTACAAAACCATTGAACATATATATATTGAAAAGCAACTTCATAGTATAAAGTCATCCATCATCTATACTATAAAGAGGTCAAAACATGTTCTAAATATCATATCGTCATCCATCAGATATTCTATAAGAACACGGGTTATAGGAAAAATAGTAATAATTCAAACTAGCCTCAATAAGCATGTTATGTCATAAAACATTTCCTAAAACGTAATCATTAAATCTTGCTTTTCATGTATGCATTTCTACTGTATGCATTTCTACTATAAAACATGCATTTTTAGAAGGGGTCCACTCACAATACTTCGCCACCAAAGAGCCACGCAACTAGTGAAGACAGAAACACCGTTATAATTTCCCCTAAGCACGTAAATGGTACATTTAGTCAAACTCTACTCAAACAATTGAATTTGGGAAAACAGACTTCAAAACAGGTCCAGGACGTTGAAATTAACTTATAGGAGGTTCTTGACGGAAACCTGAAAAGTCAACGTTGACCGTTGACCGGTCAAAGTCAAAGTCAACCCGTCAGAGTCAACCCGAGTCAACTCGATTTAGGGTTTGGGTATTGGGTCCGATTTGGGCCCTAAGGTTTGGGTTTAATTTTAGGGTTAATGGGTTAGAAGGGTTTTAGGATTAGGGTTAATAGATGGGCTGGGTTATAGAGGAAAAGGATTTAGGAAATGGGTTAGGAGCTCTCCGGGCTCGGCCTAAACCCACACGGCCCGAGGGCCACCTTTGAAAAGGTTTTAGGTTTTAGATAAGGCCCAAAGGCCTTATTTCAAAAAAAATAATTTAATTAAACTAAAAAGGTTTTAGGTTGGGTCAACGGGCTAAAGGCCCTAAGGGAAATGGCTCGAAGGCCTTTGGGTCTTTAAGGAATTAAAACAAAAATAAAAAGGGAACGGGCTAGGGTATTGGCTGAAACAAAATGGGCTTAAGGCCCGTAGGTTAAAAAAAAAAGGCCTGAAGGGCCTAGTGCGAAACAGAGAAGATGGCCGATTGCAAACGTAGACTTTAAGCTCCGATCTAACTACCAATGTGAATAGGAAGGTGAGATGAGTAAGTATATACATTTAGTTCGCCGTGGAACAGCCGTTGGTGGTCGGAAAACCTCTCGACACACCTACGGGTTCATCGGAGATGGGTGCACTTTCCCCCCAAGTCAATCTTGTTCTAAAACCTTGAAAATAACGAGATAAAACTCAATAATCACATTTATACATCAATCTAGCATTGATAGAGGAAGTCGAGGCTTACCTAATCGAAAAAAGAAGATGAAAACTGGCCAGAGAGTTTTCTGGGTTTCGTCATTCTAGTTGTGATGGGAAGGAGATCAAACTGATGAGGGAGAGACGAGGATGGTGATGCTGTCTACATCTAGCAGATGGTGAGATGGTGTGCGTGGGTGGTTCGTCACAGTGCAATAGAGGAAGAGAGATGAGGGAGTTTCGAGAGAGAGAAGCGAGAGTGCAGAGAAAGAGAGAAGAAAGAAAGAGAGATGTAAGAGAGTTATGGGAGAGGTGAGGGAGAGTGATTGGGACCGAGAGACAAACAAATCAGGGGTGGGCCCCTTGGGCACACCATTTTAGACCTAAAAATCATTTTTAAAAGGGAAAATATCCCAGAAATTAGTGAAAATACAAAGATACCCTTTCTATTCCGTAAATCCCAGGATGGGGTGTTACATTTTTCAAGCCAGTTCAAGTATCTCTCAAGATCCACAACTTTGGCATCAATGTTTGGCATATCCCCTTGAGAAAGTGATGTCTTTTTTGTTTCCAAGTTTGTGTAAAGACAAGTTACACTGTGATGTTTGTCACTTGTCTAAGTTTGCTAGGTTGCCTTTTGATTCCTCGACTTCTAGAGTTAGTCATCCTTTTGAAATCCTTCACTCAGACATTTGGGGTCCAATACTAGGGTCATTTGATGGATATAGGTACTTTGTAACCTTTGTCGATGATTTTACAAGGATAACTTGGTTATATCTTTTGAAATATAATAGTGAACTTCCAAATGTTTTTCAAGATTTTCATAAAATAGTTGGTACTCAATTTGCATCAAAATTCATGTATTAAGATTCAACAATGGCACTGAGTACATATGCCATAACATGTCTCAATACTTGAGTATTCATGGCATCTTGCACCAGACCACATGTGTTGGTACACCCAAACAAAATGGGGTTACTGAGAGAAAAAATAGAGATATTCTTGAGAAGACAAGATCACTCATGTTTCATATGAATGTGCCCAAGAAATTTTGGTCACAAGAAGTTCTTACAGCCACTTATCTTATCAATAGACTGCCTAGCAAAGTACTAGCTTTCAAGTCTCCATATGAAGTGTTGAAAGACAGAAAAATTGATCTCTCACATTTGAAGGTTTTTTGTTCCACTTGTTTTGTTCACAATCAATCTCTCCATTGTGACAAGCTCGATCCCAGAGCAACCAAATGTGTTTTCATGGGTTATTCATCCACTTATAAAGGTTACAAGTGCTATAAACCAACCACAAGAAAACTTATGGTCTCAAAGGATGTGAGATTTGATGAAAACATTCCTTATTTTTCCAAGAAACTGAGTGATGAAGGCCAGGGGGAGTTTTTAAGTGATATGGTTCCTTGTCCAGTGTTCCTTAGTACCAAGAAACTCCCACATCCCACGACTCTTCACCAGTATCTCTAGAGTTGTCATCCCTTCCAGTCATAGATCCTGAACCTCAGGCCCCAATTCAACGAAATACTTCCAGAGTTCAACAGCCCCCACTTCGACTACATGACTATGTCACTTACATATCTAGGTATTATCTCACAGATTTTGTTTCTTATCAGCAGTTTTTAAGAAGCAAATGAACTTGCACCTTGGAAAAGTGCAATGAAGGATGAACTGCAAACACTTCATGACAATAAAACCTGGAGTGTAGTTAAACTTCCAAAGGGAAAGAAAGCAGTGGGCAGCCGTTGGGAGTACAAAACAAAGTTCAACACAGATGAGACCATTGAAAGACACAAGGCTCGTTTGGTGGCTCGGGGTTTCACTCAGACCTATGGCTTGGATTACAAGGAAACCTTTGCACCAGTTGCCAAAATGAACAATGTAAGGGTTTTATTGTCGGTTATTGTGAACCAATCCTGGCCCCTTTATCAAATGGATGTGAAGAATGCCTTCTTACATGGAGAGGTAGAGGAAGAAGTGTACATGAAACTACCACCAAGTCACCTTCAATCTCATGATCCTAACATGGTTTATAGACTGCACAAATCCATTTATGGATTGAAACAATCTCCACGTGCATGGTATGCAAAACTAAGCTAAGTTCTTAAAGCATTTGGTTTTCAACCGAGCAGGGCTGATTCCTCACTTTTTGTCTGTGTTGGTTCATTTGGGAAGTTGGTTGTGTTAATCTATGTTGATGATCTCATAGTGATAGGTGACAATATTGAAGAAATTCATTATTTCAAGCTTGCTCTTTGCAGCAAATTTGCAATTTAGGACCTGGGAACTCTAAAATATTTTCTCGGTATTGAGCTTGCCACATTACAGAAAGGGCTTTTTCTAAATCAAAGGAAATACATCCTTGGTCTCCTGAAGGAATCTAACTTACTGGATTGCAAACCTGCACGCACTCCTTTGGATTATAAGCTCTGTCTTCATAGTTATAGTGCGCTCTTTTGCAATGTCACTAATATCAAAGGTTGGTAGGCAAGCTTATCTATCTCACAATTACGTGTCCTAATATTTCTTACGCTGTGAGTATTGTCAGTCAATTTATGCATGCTCCTACATTAGTTCACATGCATATTGTGAAGAGAAAAAAAATGATAGTAGTGCCATCATGGGTTATACAGATGCTGATTGGGTAGGAAATTCCCTTGATCGCAAGTCAACTACAGGCTTCTGTACATTTGTAGGTGGCAATTTGGTAACAGGGCGAAGCAAAAAGCAAAGTGTTGTACCTTGATCTATCGCAGAGGATAAATATCGTGCCACGGTTTCAACTGCTTATAAACTTATTTGGCTGAAAAGCCTTCTGTCTAATCTAGGGTTTCCCAGCAATGCACCTATGTTTATGTTCTGTGACAACCAAGCCGCCATGCACATTGCTTCCAATCCTGTTTTCCATGAGATAACGAAGCATATCGAAGTAGATTGTCACTATGTTCGATCTTAGGTTCAATCCAAAACCATAAACACTTATTACACTCGCAGTAATGATTAACTGGCTGACATATTTACCGAGTCTCTTCCTACAGTTCAGTTTTTGTGCATTCTTTCCAAGCTTGGCTTAAGGAACCCTCTTGATCCAGCTTGAGGGGCAATGTTGGAACATTGACAGATTGGAGGATATCGAGAGTCCCATTGACACAAGTCTAATCGGTTTGTCAATTAGGGTTTACAGTTTTTACTCAATGTGTAGAACAGCTAGGGTTTAGTCTTTTATCCATTGTGTTTACTTGTGTTGTAATTAACCTTAAATTAAGGAGTCTTGATATTATAAATAGATTAGGAGTGATTTAAGGAAGGTTGAGTGTTGTCCTCCTTAATCTCTCATCCTATATATGTGGTCTATTGTATCTGGTTCAATCAAGAAATATACATCCAAAATTTAACATTGACAGTTCTACTGCAATTATCACTAGACGTGGTAGATGGGTGATTTA